ACTGAAGTCTTAGTTTTCCCCGTCACCTTACTACATTAATTACAGTGCAATAGATCCTAGACGCAATTGATACCGATATCTTGTTTAGAGCCGCTAGACTATTTTTTGCTATTCAAATAGGACTTTATATTCTTCTGTCTCCGTGCCCATTGTTTCAAACAGCATAGTTGTATTGATCAATGAAACAGTAGACGCGATGGCGATATCAAATGGCAAAAAGTCTATAGGCTCTCTTACTCTTAACGAGATCTCGTGGCCATTTAGGATCTATTGAAATTGATTTGGGTAAAGATTGAATTACCGCATGTTCTGTTATTGCAGGAAACTCATCTTGTAAGTTAGAGCTTGTCGTTTTGCTGAAAGCTAGGGACGTTGTTATTGAAGATGTGAACGTGTCACTGGTATTAGGCTGCGTAGACAGCTTGTTTTCGAGGACCTCATTCCATTTTATTTTCAAATTGTCTATGATAACAAAAAATATACTCTGTATTACTCTGCGAGATCTGCACCAGTACGCAGTTAGAAGCAATTACAGAGGCAGTCTAAAATCATACAGTGTGTTTGAGTAAATGGAGGATTTTTACCTTGTATTATATTATATTATATAATGTATATGTATCAAGGAATATTTATAACACGATAAATAAATATTTCAAAAATATTATGCGAATGAATAAAAATATATTGAGATGTGTAATGCTTATTCTGGAAACAGAATGATGAGATAGATAGACAGATAATACACAGACAATCCTGAGCACAATAATGAATAGCTGACACAGCTGTATGTTCGAAATGAATTTCTGTGCGCATTGATTTTTACAATATTTTTAAAGTAAACATACTGTATTGACTATGCAAAAATAAGGCATAAATTCGTCAAATACTTTCGACATCTTTTGTAACCAATATTAAATAATATCTGAATAAATCGATGTAATGACTTTAAATCAAATAATACATGTACTTAAAAGTATATTCAAACAGAAGTTCATAGGTCGATGCCCTTGAAAGTCAGTTCGAGGGTCATGCCGAATCGACAATACAACATGCTTAGAGCAGAATGATCACAAATAATGATCGTTCACGTTAAATTTATCAACAATACATAGAGCCTTGGAATTAAACTAACCGACATAGCGTGGAACACCCTGCAATATACATCCGAATATTGCCACGACCATTAAGACACAGAATGCGGTGATTCTATTCATCTCCATAAGTCTGCAAGTTGGGCAAAATATTGTTATATATACAAATATAAATGTGACTTCATTGAAATTTGTACGTATTTTGTAGGTCGGTGTGGGGTGGTCAATCGATTCTTGGTCATATACCGTCACTTCAAGATTTTTTGCTTGACTGCAATGAATGGGAACTTACATTATCACGCTTCGGGCAGATAACGCAGGGGTGACATAATTATCTCTGTGAGTATGATTTTCAGCTAATTTTGAAATGGCTAGCTGGTACATTTATAGTTGGTACTCAACTGTGTGAACATTTCTTATAATGCCATCATTTGCATGTAGGCATTATTTTATTGCTTGATTTGTATAATTTGACAAATGGGAGATAAAATAATTATATAATAACTGTACAATAAATTAGCTTTATTCAATATATTTATGATACTTTGTAAATGGATTACTTTTTACTAAACAAGGTCATATGTGAAATATATTATTATTATTTATTCTAATTATGGAATGAATAAACGAAATCATGCACACAAAGGTGAAGAACTTTTCTTTGATTTGTCTATTCAGTCATTGCCTTACTGTTTAGAGTCGTCGGATAGGCAATTACTGCATTCGCACCCCAAACAAATGACACATGATTTGAGGAAATACTAATAATAATGTGGGGGTATCGGGGCACCCCCTCTCCCCATTATTGCTATGACCCATAAGAGAAATAAAAGTTGCTGTAAGGAAGTACTCCTGATGCTGCTGCCCTGCGCATAGCTCTGCGTAGGGCAGCACATCACATGAAGACTGGGGCAAATCTCTTGGGAACACCACAGCCAGATTGGGAAGAAACCTCACAACCTAAAACAGCGCCGGTGTCGATGACATCATGGGAGTTTCTGTGCTTGTGGTGTCGAGGTGTCGAACACTTCTCCGCGGCCGCCTCGGCTGAATATAAGGCGGGATGTCTGGTTTGGAGCAAGGAATGTGCTCTCACTCCGAGGGGATGCTCGCTTGCCTGCGATGTCAATGGTTCTTGGTCAACTTTGTATAAGCATTGCAGCCTTGTCCGAGGTGTGCAGACCAAGTATTGGCGAGATCAGAGTATGTGGTTACACCTATTTCTGGTCTGGCCATAATGATGTCTCAAATAGACTGACCCCAATGACTCCCTGTGGGTGTGCTATCTGTAGTAGCTGTGTACGCTCCAGCTGGGAGTATCGACATCTATGAAGGAAGCGTTCTATGCCTAACTAAATTTGGTGGTTGATGCCATCCCTGTGAGAGACGCCAGAGTTATCCTTGGGGACTTTAGTGCTAGCACTGGTACTAGTAGCCATGTGTCGGTCCCCATGGTCTGGAATCCAGGACGAAAGTGCTTCCCAACTTTTAGACTTTGCTAGGTGTTGGGGGTTGTGGATAATGGGTTCCTGGTTCCAGAGACCCAAACTTAGACGATGGTCATGATATTCCAATGATGGCATCACAAAGGAGGAGATCGATCATGTTCTTGTAGATGGGAGATGGAGGATGGTCATGAGCTGCCAAGTGTTCAGAAGCGCTCAGTTCTTCAGCACCGATCATAGGCTTGTTGTTGCTACTCTTAGGCTTCTTTTCAGGGTCCCTAGAAAAACAACTGTGGCACCACGTTTGGATGTTTGCCAGTTGAGAGATCTTGTGGTGGCTGGTGAGTATGCGGCAAGTCTTTATAAGGCACAGGTTGTGATGAGCGTGCTTGGCGACACAGGCTGGCTCTGGTCATACTTCAAATCCACTGTCAGTGTCAAGTGTCAGAGGAGCTTCTACCCAGGCAAATCTCCAAGGTGATCTTCAAGGAATCGGTTGAAACAATCGAAGTGAGTCGCCAGGCCAGACTTGATGAGACGTTGGACTGCACATGGTGTTGAGGCGACAGGCTATTAGAGAGGTGCGCCAAGAACGCGAGGCGTAGTTCCGGAGCTCTGTGTCAACAAAAGCCCCAAGTCTGGCTAATAGAGTGATCAGGAAGATACACAACTCAGCATCTGTGGTGCGCTGATCTGCAGTGAAGGCAGCAGATGGACGGGTGCTTTCGGATGAGTCTGCGATGAGGTCTCGCTGGTTCAAATACTATCAGGCCGACCCTTTAAATGGTGAGCTCAGGGTTGATGGTCCTCCTGCCCTGGAGGTGGCGTCTCTCGTTAGTTGTGATCCGCCTTCTTTAGAGGAAACTCGGAAGGCATTGGGCCAACTGCAGGACGGATGTACCCCCAGCGTGTGTGGGATTCGGGCTGGAGGTGAGGTTACCCAGATGTGGTTGCACAGACTGATGTGCTCAGTGTGGAGCTCTGGCGTCATCCCAACTGACAGGAGAAAAGGACTAATTGTTCCTATCTGGAAGGGAAAGGATGATGCCCA